TTGGTTGCTATGCCAAACCAGACAGTTATTGAGGTACATTTCTTCTGTTTCCTTGTTTTACTTCCATGCTGGTCTACAACTCTCTGCAGTAACATAATAGTCATATAGTGGAGGCATCAGTAAAGAGGTACAAACAATTCCTTCTGTTAACAATTAATTCTATTATTGTTTCTCAAGCAATGAAATTATAAAATGTAGAATGGGAATGGATTTTTCAGGCTGTCAAATCCACCCCGACTCTCCCTCTGGGAATCCGAATTAAACCATCCAGAACAGATTGCTGTCCACCCTCTGTTTGAATGTATCTAGTGACAGGAAGCTCACCACCATCTCCGAATAATTAGTTCCATTGCTGAACTGCTGTCATTGTCAGAATTTTGCTCTTAAAATTCAAACAAAGTTTGCCTTCTGGTAACTTAAATCCATCTGTTCTCCTGGGTTTCTTAAATGCAATATGTAATAGTTCAACTATACATCAGCAAGCTATTTCACTACCCTAGAATGCTATTCATCAGTCTCTGGAGTTTAAACTCATTCAAAGTAAACAGATTTTCCTTAACCATGTTCCTGTAACTCTAAGGCTTCAATCCTCTTTTTTCATCCTGCTCTTCACAATTTCCTAGTGGAATTGTGTTGGGGAAGATTAAACCAAAATGAAATGATAGAGACAAAATAAATACCACAGACACAGAAAGAAGCGTGTGTATCTTTGATTTACAAGGCAGCAATCATCTGGAAAAACTCACATCATATAAAAATCAATCTGCGTATCAAATGTTGATTACAAAATTCTTGCTATGCTAATAGCTGAAGGTTGACAGAATTATATTCCAGATTAAGCAGGTTACCCCAAGGACAGTGGCAGATTTATAATAAAAGGAATAGAAAAAAATCTGCAAGAAGTGAAAAAAGCAGCAATATTTCTTTTAGATCAGAAAAAGCCTTTGACAATTTGGAATGGTCATTCCTATTTGCAGTATTGAATAAATGAAATCCAGAAGAAAAATTTAAAGCTTGAGTTAAATGAATGTGTAAGCAGCAAAGGCCAAAGATCATGACTAATGGAAAGCTTTTTACAGATTTCTCAGTAAGCAAAGTTACAGGACAAGGATGTCCACTTTCTCCGTGTTTTGCAATCGCTTTAGTCATTTTAGCCAATAAGGTTCAAAAAGATAAGCAAATATCAGGCATTAAGATTCAAGGAGAGGAATATAAATTAAAATGCTATGCGGACGATGTGGTACTAACTATTATGCAGCTGCAAAGGGTGATAAGACAGCTGATGAAAACAATTAAAGGTTTTGGTGAATTCTCAGGATATAAAATTACGCACAAAAACTAAAGATAATAATGAGACATTTATCCCAAGAAGGAGAAAGCTTTGTACAGAAAAAGTCAGGTTGCCAGACAACAAAGGATTCAGTGAAGTATTTGGGACTGTATTTGTCAGGCAGTAACAAAAATATATTTCACAATAATTGCACAAAATTATATAGAGAAATTTTTTAAAAAGGGTTTTAAAAGGTGGAAAATTTAAAAACTCTCCTGATTAGAATCAGTTGTGACTATTAAAATGAATATATCATCTGTGTGGACTCCTGGTGATTGCCCGGAAAAATCCCTGCATTTTCTTGGCAAGATTTCGGAAGAGATTTGTCGTTGGCCTTAAAGGGAATGATTGGTGAGGCTCATCTAGTTGGTTTCATTCCCATGATAGGACTGGAGCTCACGGGCTCCTGGTTTCTAGCCTAGTCTCCGAAGATATTTTTTAAAATTTCACATGGTTCTAATTTCAATCCCTAAAGTCTTTCAAAATTGGCAAACAATGGTTAATGCATTTATTTTGTTCAAAAAAGCCTCTTACAGCAGGGGTGTCCAACTTAATTTCATTAAGGGCCGCATCAGGATTCTGTTTGACCTCAGGGGCTGGGGTGGGCATGGCTAGGTCAACATCACTCGTGTCTGGGGCGCCTGTGGTGGCCCTAGTGCTTTGCCAGAGAAAACGGGCTCACAAGCTCCATTTTCAATCCCGATGCTCTCCTGCAGCCCTCGGCCAGAGAAAACGGAGCTCAGGTGGGCTCTGCATGCTCCACAGGCCCTGTTTTCGGCTCAGACGGCCTCCTGCAGCCCTCTGCCAGGGACCACGGAGCTCTATTTCGCTGGCAGAGACACCGCAGACCAGGGGCCCCCTGGGCTAGATCTAAGCACCCCGCAAGCTGGATCCAGCCACGGGCCTTGAGTTTGACACCCCTGCTCTACTGTAAAACAAAACAATGTTACAAGATTCAAAAGACAGAGGTGCTCTTCCTCTTCTGGGTTTTAAATTACATTCCCAAGCAAGTTTTTTGGAATTTTGAGCTTGTTTTCCTATCAACTTTCCTTCCCACGAAACCTACTCAGCTTTGTCACGAGGGGTTTGGCTCTCATTTGTCAGGAAAGATACAGACTTCATTGTTGTTACAAGGATTTTCTGAGTTCTTAAAACACATTCTTGAGAAAATCAGTTGAGAAATGAATACTGGCTGCCCTTCATCTTCAATGAAAACTGGTGCACAGACGGTGTTCAGCTGATGTGCTATCTCATTATCCCCTTTCAGATTTTCTTCAAGTCTTTTGTTCTCCGGGGATTGGCTATTTGCATTTTCCCATGTCTTTTAAAATTTATTTACATCAGTTGTATATGTCCGTAATCCTTTTTGCAACTGTTATTGCCTTCTATTATGCAAATTTGTCTGCTCTGCTCTCATTTGGGCACCGTTCTCCCTTTCTGAAGGGAGGGTTCTTCTCCAGGAAATAGTGTCGCTGCCATTTCTCATTAAGGATGCCAGTAGCCTCTTGAATTTGCTTGTGTCTTTCCCAATGTGATCTGTGCATTGTGGCTGAGCTTTTATTAATCGTGGCATTGGAGGAGATCTTCAAAGATCACAGCTAGAGTACCGCATCCAGTTTTGGTCACCGCACTATAAAAAAGATGTTGAGACTCTAGAAAGAGTGCAGAGAAGAACAACCAGGAGGATTAGGGGACTGGAGGCTAAGACATACGATGAACAGTTGCAGGGCATGGCTAGTCTAGTGAAGAAGAGGCCCAGGGGAGACATGATAACAGTCTTCCAATATTTGAGGGGCTGCCATAGAGAGGAAGGGGTCAACCTATTTTCCAAAGCACCTGAAGGCCAGACAAGAAATAATGGATGAAACTGGTCGAGGAAAGATTCAACCTGGAAATAAGGAGAAATTTTCTGGCAGTGAGAATAATCAACAAATGGAACAGCTTGCCTTCTGAAGTTGTGGGAGCTTCATCCCTGGAAGCTTTCAGGAAAAGATTAGACTGCCATTTGTCAGAAATGACCTACAAGGTCCCTTTCAACTCTGTTAATCTGTTAAAGCTACCCAGACTCTTGATCAAGGCAAGGATCCGAATGAAATCATCCCAAATAGATGGCATCCAGCTTCTGCTGATAGACCTCCATCAGCTGTCTGGGCTTTGTGGCTTCAATAAAACCCAAATATTTTGGACAGATTTGATCTGGGCCTTCCAGTTTTATCTAATCTCCAATGATTGCCTGTATTTGCTAAAAGTCATTAAAGGGCTAATCTTTCAATTAGCATGTTTGGCTATGCAAAATTCCAGTGCAATGTAGTATACATGAAATGCATACATCTTTTGCCAGCTGCTGATATTGAAAAAGTGGCATCCATCTATCCATCTGTTCTTTCAAGGGAAAGCATTATTGGGATACTATATTCATTTTTCCCATTTCCTCTGGGCTCCTTCAAAAATCTTTCATTTTACACTGTTGGGAATAAATAGATCCACCTGTCTTAATATACATGGATAGATAATTGTCCATTTGTTTAGTGAAATACAGCCGAGACTCCTTGCAAGGGATTTATTAGAAGGTTGTGATGGTCATCTCTTTTATTCCAGGATGGTTCTAGTTCCTTGCCTCATCACATTTTAATTACAGCAAAGTTGCTCCTCATTTCTATTGACATTTTGATAGCTCAAGAATGGGCATCTTCATGACATTTTTGAGCCAAATGGCAGCCTCCCTCCTTCCCCCTTCCTGACATTTCTGGATATGGGGTGTTCCTTACTACAGATGCTTGAGTGCACGCTGAAAGTGGCTGGACTCAGTCCTGCCTCCTTGGACCAAGTCAGATTAATGGTGGGGATGTTATTAATTTGCATTTCGTTATATAAATAGCACTTAAGGGATGGTTGAGCAGCTCCAGCAGCTGTTTCTTAAGGAGAACATTGTGTCTTTTTAGAACAGGCTTGGACCAAGACGACAAGCAGAGTTTCCCTCTCTGTCACTGCTTCCCGACATCCTAAGTGGGATGGATGCTGCACAGATAACATGGCCAGATTAAGTCTGTGGGAAGATTCTTTTTTCGGTCCTTGTGAAGTGATTTTTTAAAAATTGGACCAGAGACCTCTGGGTGACTCAGAGGAGCAGCAAAAGACAATTCTGTTTTAAAAGATTCTGAGTTAAAAATAAAAACTGAAAAGAAATGAATATATAAAGATCTGCCAGCACATGGAGTGCGGGATAATTGGAGAGTCAATTACCATGGTACTGAATACACACAAACACAGCACAGAAAATAATGATTCTCCAGCCTGGTGGGTATTTATTTTTTCTGCAGATAAGCCACGTTGTATGTAATTATTCTGGAGGACTTAAATGTGCTTCACCTGTGGCAGGACCAGAGGTGGTCTTTAGCAGGTTCGGACCAGTTCTGGAGAACTGGTAGCAGAAATTTTGAGTAGTTTGGAGAACCGGCAAATCCCACTTCTGACTGGAGATTTTACAGTATCCTTCCCCTGCCACACCCACCAAGCCACGCCCACAGAACCAGTAGTAAAAATTTTTGAATCCCACCACTGGGCAGGACGTGTCACCACAAATTGAGCCCATTGAGTTTTCCTGCATGTAGATACATGAGAAAATAGATATTGTTGCCCATTTAGGGTCTTTTTTTCCTTTCTGTTTTAGTACGGGATGCTAAAAATCTTGTTCCAATGGATCCCAATGGCTTGTCAGACCCATATGTGAAGCTCAAACTCATACCTGACCCAAAAAGCGAGAGCAAACAGAAGACTAAAACCATCAAATGTTCTCTGAACCCTGAGTGGAATGAGACCTTCAAATTGTGAGTATTGCTAGATGCAACATTTGAAGGTTGGGTGTTGGGTGATTCCTGGGGGACCCAGAGCTGTGGTGGCCCAGTGGTTCGAAAGCAGTACAGTATTGCAGGCTAATTCTGCCAACTGCCAGGAGCTCGATCCTGGCCAGCTCAAGATTGACTCAGCCTTCCATCCTTCCGAGGTGGGTAAAATGAGGACCCAGATTGTTGGGGGCAAGAGGCTGACTCTCTGCTCAGAGACGGCTGTAAAGCACTATGAAGCGGTATATAAGTGCTATTGCTATCTATATCTTAAAACAGGAAGTCAAGAAAGGTCAATTGCTGGACAAACCTCTCCAGTTATCCCTTCCTCCAGATCCCCCACTGTAGCAATAGCAATAACACTTTGACTTATATACTGCATCACAGTGCTTTACAGCTCTCTCTAAGTGGTTTACAGAGTCAGCCTCTTGCCCTCAACAATCTGGGTCCTTATTTTATTGACCTCGGAAGGATGAAAGGATGAGTCGACATTGAGCCCGGTGAGATTTGAACTGCCAAATTTGTCAAGAACTTGAGATTTAATAGCTGATCAGCTGTTGTAAGGCTGATGCAATGAGGATGAATCAGCATGGTTATTGCCGCTTTAAGACTGAGGATGGGTCCCATAGGGTTTTACCACTTTAAGAAGCTGTCTATATATAGGAGGCCATGAGAGGTTGTACCTCTCTCTCCTTGTGTTCTGTCTCCATTGTGGTTCTCCATGCAGAGTAATGAAGACTGATTGCTTGCCAGGTATTTGCCTACCATGTATATGTATGTATGTATGTATATAGCTGTCTTGTATATAAACCACTGTTAAAAGAAAATGCCTCTGTGTGTGCTATGTTTTGCCCCTGGGTTGTCTCACAATAATAGTCATGCTGCAAACACTCTGACAAAATTGCAGACAGCCAACAGTCAACCTGCAGTACTGCGACACTGTGGCTCATGTGTGGTTTCACTGTGGTTTCACGGTGTAAGTAACCAGAAAGAGACTATGACTCAGACAGGACCCAGGTAGAAAATCCCATATTCACATGCCAGGTGAAGGAAAAGACTTGTCCAGTTGCAGATCTTGGACAGTTTTGACTCCAAAAACATTGGAGGTTTTTAAGAAGAGATCGGACAACCACTTGTCTGAAATGGTGTATAGGCTTTCCTCCTTGAGCAGGGGGTTGGACTAGAAGACCTCCAAGGTCCCTTCCAACTCTGTTATTCTGTTGTTCACAGCATAGACAAGAGTAACCCAAATGGAACTACAAAAGGAGGAGGCTTCCAAGAAGTTCTGCTCCCTGTCTTAATTTCCTGGCAATCTTTTCAGCTTTCTCCCCCAGCATGGGGCCTGCTGCAGCCTAGCATTGGTGGGGGTGGAACCCATTCCCAAATCCCTCTCCGTGCCAATGCTGCCTCTCTGCAAAGAGGCACGGTGCTGGCAAGGAAGGGAGCCATGCTGAGCTTCAAGCTGTCAGGGTGCCCGAGGAGAGAGAGATCTACTGCCACACAGGAAAGTAGAACTAGATTTAACATGTCCCTCCATCATTCCATTCTCCATCTTCTTTCTGTTTTTCGTTGCTAAACTTTCTGGGATTTTCGGGGGTCTCCATCTCACATCCGTCCCTGCTTAATTTATTATAGTTTGCAGGCTCAGATGCCTCAAGGCAGGATTTTAACTATCTGCAATTTCCTAGAATTAATGAAGTGGGGGGGAAAGTTGCATTTTAAGAGAGAAGAATAAAGAAGTGGGATTTTCCTCCTCTCTCCTGTACCAGTCAGTGTAACTCAGAAAAATATACTATAACCACTGTGGCATCAGAAACTGACATTTTTGAACATTTTCATTTGTTTGACCAGGGGTCCAACTTGGCAGCTTTAAGACTTGTGGACTTCAACTCCCAGATTTCCTCAGCCAGCAAAGCTATCTGGGGGATTCTGGGAATGGAAGTCTACAAGTCTTAAAGTGGCTGAGTTTTGAGGTCCCTAGTTTAGAATGTCAGCATGAAGGGCACAGGCTACCCTTGAAGACCACCACTTCTCCATGATGGGTGATCATGGGTGAAATGCATGGAAGCTTGTGAAAGCAGCCCCTTCCCCAGAAAATAGTATCTTAATATCTGTTCTCTCCCCTTCTCTCCCTGTTTTTTCCAGCCAGTTGAAAGAGTCTGACAAGGGCAGGCGACTGTCGGTGGAGATCTGGGACTGGGATCTGACCAGCAGAAATGACTTTATGGGATCTCTGTCCTTTGGCATTTCAGAGCTGCAGAAAGCCGGAGTGGATGGCTGGTATGATGCCTTTGTCTCTTGGGCCCTCGGTGGCTCTCTGGTTAAATAAAAACAGGGGTGAGAAAAGAAATGGGGAAAGCTGAAGGGGGGTGTTTGTGTCAACTCATAAAATATTTCTATGGCCTTTTTAAAGTTGCCAACAGAAAGGGAGGGGGGAGCAGTGTGGCAGCTTGGAAACAGAAAGTGCATTCCATAAATAGTTTTCAAAGATAGTAACTAGGTGACTGAAGTTCTAACTGGAGAACATGATTGATGACTCTTGGCTATGGATGTGTCCCATTAGAGAATATGAATTAGGATACAGGAGGTGGGGGGGGCGGGAACCAGGGTCAAGGGTGATAATTAATTATGTGCCTCAGAGTTGGCTGCACCCAGGCAGTGCTGGACATGTTAACTCCCAATAAATCCTTTTGAAGTTCTGGAAGTTTGGCTTGAGACTCATGATTTAATTGGGGTGACTGCCGGAATCCTGACAACTAGCCAACTCTGAGACACAAAATTCATTTGGAGCTCTTTGGGCAACCCCGCTGGAGTTGGGTGGCCAATAAATAAAATACATTCGTGAAATATGTTAGAAATTGCTGCCATTATGGTGGAAAAATCTAGTCTACTTGTGCAGCACATCTTGCAGTTGCTTTTTGATGTAAGATGGTAGGAGGATGGAAGGAAAAATACTAATAGTTGAGACTGGATGGTGGGGAAGAGGGAAGGATCACATTTCTTTGCAATCTTTTGGACGTTTGCACTCTCTCTGAGAGCCGTTGAGGCCCCTTGGGGGTTTATCGGTGCCCCCAGGGTCACCTGAATCAGAGTGCAAATGGGTATGACATTTTCTTGGAACAAAGTCCACATTCTGGATGGAGAGGACCGTTCATTTGAAGGAGGGGTAAAAGAGGCCAAAATTGAGCAGCCCACCCTCAACAAAGGGGAGACACCACCTATCTCCTGTCTACAACATAGTCCTTTCAGCAAAAAGGTTCCATACTCAGTTGCGCTCTGATACAGGTGAGCCTGAGGGCACAGATAAACCCCCCAAGTGGCCTCAAGAGCTCTCAAGGAGAATACTAATGACCAGATGACTGCAAAGAAATATGATCCTTCTATACTCCCCCATCCTTTCTTGTTCTTCCTCAAGGAAAAAACAGTCCAGTTGCCTTTTGAAAAAGCACCTTTGAGACAGGTATCTTTAAACATATATATTTACTAATACGATCGAGACAGGTATCTTGAAAGCCTGACAGAGATTCTCTCCGCTACTCTTATGCCAAGAAAATCAAAGCAGAGCAATCTTAACATTCTTTCTGACTCACTCAACTCTTCCATACCTGAGCTGGTGTTTCTACCTTTGTCAAGGCCATTTCCATGTTCCTCTGTGGCTCTGTAACCATTAGGAATCACTGTTCTCTGAATTCTTAGGACAACTTATAGAGAGCATGTATTTTTTTTTTACCAGTGTCAAAAAACACACAATATTGTAATTTGGATGAAGAAGAGCCATAAATATCTCTTCTGGAAAATTTGAAAGGGTGACAATCCTTTAGATTTATCTTTGAATCTGTACATCTGTGTAAGATTTATAAATCTTTTAGGTCAGGATAGGTGATAGTTCATCTGGATGATTTGTTCATTTATTCTGAGGATCCAACATGGAAAAGAATTGATCTATGCTTGATCAGTTCCACCCACGCAGCCTTCATGCTAAGCTGGATAAATTTGTTTCGATCTGCCTTGCATCTCTCCAGTTTAATTACACTGGGAAATAAACATTTTATTCCTCTCCTGACGGAGCTCAATGTTCAAGGATGTCCGAAAGAATGAAAAATAATTAAAAGGGAGAAATCTATGATACTACATTTCTAAGAAGAAAAAAGAAAGCAAAGATTTTTTGGGGGGACAGAACTCAGGAGAAACAATCAGTAATGGTGATATGAAGGTTTTGTAAGATAAGGAAGGCAATGAAACTGTTCCTCCGTCTTTACCAAAATTCTGGCTGAGTTGGAAAAAAAATGTAATTTTTTAACATAATTACATAAGTACAAGAAGAAATTCCTAAGTTGACATTTTACAGAATAACAGAGTTGTAGGAACATTGGAGGTCATCTAGTCCAACCCACTGTTCAAACAGGAAACTTTGTGCCATTCCAGACAAATGGCTACCCAGTCTCATCTTAAAAGCCTCCGGTGATGGAGCGCCTACTTCTGGAGGCAAATCATTCCACGGGTTGACTGTTCCAACTGTCAGGAAATTTCTCCTTAGTTTGAGGTCGGAGCTTTCCACTGGTTTCTTGTCCTGCCTTCAGGTGTTTCTGATCGTGCAAATGAAGGAATTTGAAAGGAATTCAGATTTAATTCAGGCAGCCAAAAGAGGGTTTCAGGGCTAATATGGCAGAATTATATGTCTGGAAGATGAGTTTTGCTATGGCAACATTGGGATTAAAATGTTAAAGATTTGCATAACGAATAGGATAAATAAGCTGTGGGAGTAAACCGACGCAATTATTTATTCTCAGAATCCTCTGGATACAGAAAATATGTTCCAGATATGATTATCCAGGTGCTAGAAATTCCTGAGTAATAAAAAAATGGAGCAATAATAAATTCTTACTTCCTGGTTTTTAAAAATCTATTATGCAGAAGGCTAAGACAATGAAAGGATACCTTGCAAAGTCCACATTCATCAAGAAATGCCTACTGAAAAGTCTTCAAGAAAGAAGTTAATTGAAACACTTGAATGGATTCCTTAGAAAACCTGCCGCTGATTTGATTTTTAATTTAAAGGCGAAGAAAAAATTACATCTACTGTACGTTGAATGAGATGGAGCTGGTATATTTTGAACTAACAAACCAAGCACGGCAAGAGATCTCAACTAGAAAGGAGGATCAACTCAGGAGGAAAGGAATCCCAATAAAAAGGAATAAATACTTAGGAGGGAATCATGTGGAAGAATAATCATGTTGTGTATGGAAATACTGGTTGTTGTGGTTAGCCGGCAGCAGGTGTGGATGGCTGAGGAGAGCGAGGATTCAGATGAGGGGCCAGGACCATCAGGGAGTGGACTGCTGCCTTCAGAGACTGTGGGGGCTGGCAGCAGCCATGAGGAGGTTCCTGAGGAGCCTGTGCCAAGTGCACGTGCATGCAGGATTGCTCGGAGGAAAGAGCAGCTGCAGCAGCACGGGTGACTCGGGAGTAAGGCTGCAAAGTGATGGCCTCTCCTTCAAGAAGATAAAAGCCAGTTGTGAAGCGAACGTTCTTTGCAGGAAGCAAAGATGTTGTGAAACTACAGCCTCGTGGACATTGCAGTATCTTAGTTGGTATTTGAAGACGCTGGTGTTGTGAAATATTTCTTATCTGTTATTCTTGGCAGCCTCGCACAGTTTCGGCAAAGCGTGTGCTTATCAAAGTTAATTAGTTTGCAGCAGCCTTTTAACCAGGGATTCGTAAGAATCATTAAATGGTTTCTGTTCCCTTTGGTTCGTGTTTGTTTTATTGGAAAAGGGTTTGGGTCAGAATACTGGTTCATGTTTAATATTTAATACATAATTTAGTAAATAAGAGGGGGAATCGGAGAAAGAAATAAAGATTTCTCCTCTTTATTTTTCAAGAATTCTTCTGTGTGATACAGGTTGTCCTTGATTTACAACAGTTCATTTAGTGACATTCAAAGTTACAACAGCACTGCAAAAATTGACTTATGGCTGTTTTTCACAATTATGACCTTTGCAACATCTTCATGGTCACGTGATCAAAATTGAGAGGCTTGGCAACTGTCTCGTATTCATGACGGCTGCAGCGTCTCAGGGTTTCATGATCCCGTTTTGTAACCTCCTGACAAGCAAAGTCAATGGGCAAGCCAGATTCACTTAGCAACTGTGTTACTAGCTTAACAACTGCAGTGATTCACTTGTGGCAAGAAAGTGTCAGGATTCCGGCAGTCACCCCCATTTAAATCATGAGTCTCGAGCCAAACTTCCAAAACTTCAACAGGATTTATTGGGAGTTAACATGTCCAGCACTGCCTGGATGTAGCCGACTCTGAGACACATCATTTACTGTCACCCTTGACCCTGATTTCCCCCCCCCCCCCCCCCCCCCCCC